TGACTTCCCACAAGGTTACTGAGAGTGTAGATTGGTACAATGACTGAAAAACAGTTTCAATAAGTTAAAGGTATGCATGCCCTATTATCTACCAATTCCACTCCTTAAAAAGGTAGTACCTGGTGCACCAGGATATACACAAAAGAACACTCATATCAGTATTATTCAAAGTGGGCAAAAATTGGCAACAACTTAACTATTTAACAACAACCAAAATGGGTAAACAAATTGCAGTATGTTCTTATAATAGAATACTACTCAGCAATGAAAAAGAGTTTCAATAACATGGAAGAATCTTACCAAACAGTGTAAAAGAAGCAAGACATGGGAGTCAGAGGCAGCTCAATGGTAGAGCACTTCCCTAGCACACAATAAGGCCCTAGGTTTCATACCCAGCATCAGAAAAAAAATGCAAGAAAAGAAAAGCAAGACAAGAAAGAATACATACAGTATGATTCCATTTCTGTGAAGTTCAAAAACATGCACAACTGAACTATACTGTTTAGAGATTTCAAAACTAGGTGGCAAAACAATACAGAGAAAAATGAAATGACTACCAAAACCATCAGGACAGTGGCTCCCCCTACAGGAGGGAGAGGGGTGTGACTAGCCAAATTCTTGACGCAGTTGTCACTTCATTATCACCTTATCCAGTACCTTTTGTGTTTTATGTACCTTTCTATATATCTAGTGTACTCCACAAAAGGTTAAAAATGTGAAGCAAAAAATGAAAAGTTGATGGGCTGAGGCATGGCTCAATAATAGAGTGCCTGCCTAGCAAGCCAAATCCCTGAGTTCAAAAATCCAATACTCAGCCAGATGCCAGTGGCTCACGCCTATAATCCTAGCTACTTGGGAGACTGAGATTGGTAGGATCGAGGTTCGAGGCCAGCCCAAGCAAATAGCTCTTGAGACTCCATCTCCAAAATAACAGATTGATAGATTGGAGGTGTGGTTCAAACAGCACAGCACCTGCTTTGCAAGTACAGCTCTGAGTTTAAACTCCAGTCCCACCCAAAAAAAAAAAAAAAAAAAACTTGGACCTGTGGGTATTTTTCTGTACTTTTATACTTTCCCTATATTTCAAAAACTGATTCTGATCATCTGCCAGCCAGGGCCAGGCTTGGAAACAGCTCTCAGGAAATTCTTCCTGATATTCCCTGTAAATTACCTACCATCACAACAACACTTCTGCTCTCACCTCTCAACTTGAGGTCTAAGAGGCAAATAAGAAATTCCTCCCAGCTTTTCTGTCTTTTTCCTCCTGGCTGTGCCCAGCTGGGCGATGGGGCCACACACCCACGTACACGGCACAGCAGTGGTCAGGCTACATGCTGGCTCTCAGGGACCTGTTCCCTCGCCAGCTGAGGCCTCTCGTTCTTGCTTTCTTGCTCCGTTTATTAAACCAGATTTGGCCTAAGGTAGACCATGACCTGGACGTTATGTTTGTCTGGTCAGCTTGGAATTCCTGGGAGGGGCCATTTCCAGCTGTCATGGGGAGAGATGCTAAGTGACTAAAGAAGCTTACAAATCCAGAGAGATGAAAAATATAGGTGAGACCTGAGTTCTACCTAGACCTAGAAATTGAACCAACCTGAGCGATCAACCTGCCTCACTCATGGCATCCTTCCAAAGTCTCAGCAATCTGGGCCAAGGAAGCATCAGTGACCACCTCTTTATAGCAACTCCTATGTCAAAATCTGCTGAGGATCTCTATGTAGATACCCAGTGAGCGCCTGTAATTCACACAGTCAAAACCAAGCCCACGCTTTCTTCCTAAACCTGCCCCTCCACTACCATTCTCTATCCTAGTAGAGAGGAACAGCACCACCGTCTACACAAGCCTGACACCTTGGTCCTCCTGCTCATTCGTGCCCACATCCAGCAAGGTTACCTCTGACACTCTGGGATCTGCCCAACCCTCCATCCTGTTACTCCAGTCTTGACTGCCATCACCCCCACCTAAACTACTTCAACCATGACCTGATTGAGCAACCAGGCTCCAGGCTTTCCCCACTTGGCTGGCTTCATCATACAGCCAAAGAGATGGTTCTACAATGTAAATATGATTACATCTCTCCCTTGCTTAAAAGCCTTCAATGGCTCCTTTCTGATAGCATCCAAACTTAATACGAGATGTGAATCCCTTTACTTTCTACTTCTCTATGTCTTTTCTCTTACAATTCTACTCCTCACAGTTTTGATCCACTTCTAAGTACCACACCCTCTCACCTCTAAACCCTTGTACATGCGGTTTCCTCATCCTATCCCTCTTCTCCTTTCCCCAACCTTCCCTTGGTCATCCTTGCTCAAATCCATCTATTTCTCAAGTCATGGATTAAATGTCAACTCCTCTGGGGATCCTCCCTTGCTCCTCAAAGCCCTCTGGGTTCTTTTCACACCTACTATCTCACAGTACTTTTCACAGGTATCACTATTGCCTGCCTAATTGTAAGGGGTGGTATTGGAGTTTGAACTCAGGGCCTCACAGTTGCTAGGCTGATGCTCTACCATTTGAGCCACTCCGCCAGCCCATTTGTCTTCCTCTTGATGTCAGAGTGATCATGGCTATATCCCTCACCTTTAAATGCCTTGGAACCCATCCCAAGATATAACATATAGCCAGCCCTCAATTCATGATTGAATGCATCAGTGGATGGCTGCGTACTCAGCACTCAGGCTCTGAAAAAAAAAAAAAAAAAATGAAGACCAGTCTCCACGATCAAAAGTTTTCAGGTGAAGATAGCTTAGATTATCTTCACCCTTCATCCACAAAAACACTCTGCAAAAGCCAAGTGACACTGGCCATGTCAACACCAAATCCATAGTACTGACTCAGGACAAGACAAACCACTAGCCAGGGGCTCCAGCTGAAGGCCTGGCTATGATTCCCGGGTTTGTCCTCCTCACCTACTTACTGACTCAGCTGGTGCCCACACTTGCTTCTGACCAAAGCAGAGAGTGCACCAAACACACAAGGGAATAGGACTGAGCTGGGGGAAGAAGGAGGTGGCAGCAAAGAAGAGCCCAGAGTGGGCTTCGTGCTTGTGCCTCCACAGGCCCCCGCTCCATCAGCTCGGTGAGGTTCAAACCTGCACATCCAGCAGATGGTTCTAACTCATGTGCTCTCCTGCCAAAACCCCTCTGCCAGGCCAGCAGATCCCTCAGGAGTGAGGGCTGGCAAGAGGTCCATTCCCTTCCTCCTTGATCTGATGGTGACTAAGAGGGGAGCTTCACACACTCAGGAAAATTCAAGCATGGGCCCCCGCAAATAAACAGAGAAAAAGAGAGACTATTTTTTCATGGCCTCAACACCTCCGAACTGACTCCGAACTTGGCATTGAGATTCCAGTGCCAAGAGATTGGAATTTTCCATGCAGCTGGCTTCTTTTTGCTGTATTGGGGATCAAACCCAGGGTCTCACGCATGCTAGGCAAGCGCTGTACCATGGAGCTACATCCACAGATGACTCCCTAAACACAAGTCTTATTGAAGGTAATGCTCAAAGAACCCTTGCTTAATCGTTCTCATGTGTTCCTCTTTTATTCATTCAGTATTTCTTATGTAAGGTACTCGAAAGATTACAATTGCATTTCTTATGTATACCTATCCGTATGTGCCGTACGCTAGTATATATCATACATTTTAGCAAACACATATCCTAAAAAGTGGATATGCAAAATCATACAGAGCTTACGTTACAGCGATTTGTGGATTTTTCAAAGCCACTGTTAGTTATACACGGCTTCTGTCTTATGTGCTGACTTTAGAACCTGGTCCCCACATAGGATGAAGTGCCACCTCATGGGTACCACCCTCCAAGTTCCTCCTCCAGCATCTGCACCAATCCAGGAACCTTATAGCGTTGTCCAATCAACACTCAACAAAAGCTGAGAATTTTAGTAGTTCACTTGACAGACAGGCAGCCCACTTACACTGTGGCCACTAGGGTCCTCACCAGCCCCAGTGCAAGAGCTAAAACAAGGGACACCTCAGGACTGTCAGAAGAAGGAAGCTCTCAGGTCTGCTCCTGATTTTCTTTCCATTTTCAATCAAGGCTAGTGTTTAAATCATGCCAACTGGAAGCAAAGGATTGCTAGGTCAGTTCCCTTCCCCAGCACCCTTCAGGGCACCAGTCCAGAAGAGTGACAAGTGGGAAGATAATACACTCTGCAGGGATAAGAAGGACCTGCTTGGGTTCAGTCTGCAGCTTTCAGGCCACAAATCCTATCCCAAGGAGAGAGTTTCCGGCACCTCCAGCCACCGTGGAAGCATCCACAGGCTGTCAACATCCCAGACTCAAGTGTTTCTCCACAGTCCTGATCCGCCTGAGGGCCTACTTTCCCAAGAACACACAAACAACTGTTACAATTGTCTCCTTCCTTCTTAACGCAGTGTGGATGGAGTTACCCATTTTTCAGATGAAAAACTGTGAAATCTATGAAAGCAAGACAAAAATGGCAGGTCTCCAGATTACCAAATCTCCAAATCTCCTACATCAAGATTTCCAGATAGCTCCGGCTAGTTTTAATTATTCATCACCAGAGGGTTTCCTTCACAACTTCGCAAATTTGCCCCCACCTTCTCCCTCCAAATCTCTAAATCCCTTCTACCTCCCTCCTTCCCTTTTTTTCTCTCCAAGGTCTGAACGCTACCTTAACCTCGTGGTCCCTGATTCCAAAGTAGAACGAGCATCTCCTCTCCCAAAAAGAAAATGTCCTTTCCTGTGGCTCAGAGCCCCCACCTCACAGGCGCCTCATCCCCATCTCAATTCTTTTCTCACCCTCCCTGCTCAGGCCTTTGTGATGGACCGAGTTCCTCGCCTTCCCTTCCCCATCAAGAAGAGTCCCCTCCTGCAGGTAACCTGTCCCCAAAGTTGCAGATAGGTCCTCCTACTCTCCCGGGTGCGGCCCCTGCGCTCGGGGTCTCAGCCTATTCTTTCCAACAGCGTCCCCAAGTCACCCCCTTGAGCCCCCCAGACCCAGCTCGCGCGCACTTACCGGACCAGAGCACGAGCTTGCCGTGCGCCTCCTCCTGCGAGTCCGAGTCCCCGGCCAGCAGCGTGGAGGTGGCCCCGTAGGGCAGCGCCGAGCCCAGGCACACATTGTAGCGCAGAGGCTCGCAGGGGGCGGCCCGGCCACAGTGGCTCAGTAGCGGCGGAGGGCCGGTCACCGCCGCGCTCCTCCTGGCGCTCCCGCCACCGCTACGCGGCCCAGGCCCGGTCGCGTTCCCGCTCAAGGCCGCCCCCCGGCCCGGGCCCCCCATCACCATCAGCAGCAACAGCAGCAGCGGCCCCAGGAGCCGCAGCTCCGGCCCCCGCGCAGGGCAGGCAGCGGCCATGGCCAAAGTCGCCAACTCAGCAGAAGCCCCGGCGCCCCCGCCCGCTCCCCGGAGCCCCCCAGGCCACACACACAACCCTGGGGGCCGCGGAGGCGACTCAGGCGACCTGGGCGCCCTGCGAGTCTGAGGCCGGCTTTTCCCGGACGCTCCGCGCGTCCCGGCTCCTCGGCGCCCAACTTTGCAAACTTTGGAACCCGCGGCCCATGTTGGGCGGCGGAGGCCCGGGCCAGGGTGGACCGCTTCCCACTCCCTTGCCTGGCAATCGAAGTTGTCTTCAGCCCCGGGAGTCCCCTGAACCTCCGATCCCCAGTCCTATTCCATATTCCACCATTAAAACCACCCTCTGGCCCTAGTGGTGGAGGCCTGGCGCCGGCCCCGGGTGCGGGCGATCGTCCCCGGCTCCGCCCCCGCGCCGGTCCGCGGCCCAGCCGCCACCTCCGCGCGAGCGCGCAGGAGCCCCCCGAGCTCTCCCCGCCGACTCCCCGGCTCCTTTGTTGCTCTAGCTGGCCCTGCTCTCAGGAATGCACGGGCCTCGCGGAGCCAAGCCCGGCCCCCCTCCGCCGACGGGGGGAGGGACTGGGCGAGGACAGGAGGAGGAGGAGAAGCTGGAGAGGAGGAGCGCGCGAGCCTGGCGGCCCGGGCGCCCCGAGGGCCCGGAGCTGGAGGCATCTGATGACCCCGGCGTCCCTCGCCGTGAGCAAGAGATGGGTGAAGGTTGTGGCCCAGAGCTGCTACAGTAGACTTAGGGCACCTTGATTGATCTGAGGATCGTTCCATTTGGTCATTCGCGGGACAGGACTTTTCTTCTGGTTTGGTGTGGGAGATCCAGGGAATAATGCCTGAAGTCAGCGAGAGCTTGCGCCCCATCCCTGCCCAGCTCCCCAGTTAGGTTTTACGACTAATCCCGTAGCTCCAAGGAGAAGAATCTGGGTTTGGGATTCCCACTTCCCCAAATCCTTTCCTCTCGAGACCTGTGTGAGAGACGACCGTAGTCACTCTGGGCAGCTGCCCCAACTGTTCTTACCTGTGGGAGCAGGTGTCTGGTTCCCAAACGTGCCAACATCAAGGCTTTATTGTTACAAGTATGCGTGAAGTCTGAGCTGTGATTTCCATGGACTGGCTCTGGCGCGCCTTTGGTTATGTCCAAAGGAAGCCAGGCCAAGTTTGATGGCTCCTTTGATGGAAAGAGGAAGGCTGCTCCCTTCCCCACTCTTGTCCCTTTTGCTTTTCTCCCTCCTTTGCTTGTCTCAGGTCAGCAATTTACACCCATCACCAAGGGTCCAGACAGGAGAAGGTACTTGCCATGAGCAACTTTTCCTGTTACTGACTGATCAGCTCCTGTTTTTTCTTTTCTTATCTTTGGAAGACCAGTTCTCAACCTAACTGAAGTGAACGATTTCTGTTACCTTTGATTGTTTAAAAGCAAATTAGCTATTACACTTCAGTTACCATCCTTAATTGGTACCTGAGCCCCAGAGGGAGAGTCGGGGAGGGAGATTTAATTCAATTTAGTCTTTCTGAAATCCTGGAGTTACACACATCAGCATCATGTGACATCTTTGAAAGAACTTGAGAATCTGCATTTGACTGTGGAGAAAAGAAACATGCACAGTAGCATGGCAAAGCAGAAGAGTTTTGTCCCCAGGGCAGCAGGAGATTCTCTTTGTACCCACCCGTTATCTAGTTCAACTGGATATACATTTTAATCAGCTAGCTGCTAAAATAAGGTGTACAGTGAGCATGTTATCGGAACTGATAGCAGAGAGACATCAACATGGGTAGAAGTGGAGGAAGTGGAACTTGAACCCAGGACTTCAGTGTGAATAGAAGCACCCAGAAAAGTAGAGAGGAATGGACAACCTTCATTTCTTGTGAGAAAAACTGTCACCTACACAGAGCTCAGAGCATGGCTGGGCTGGCACGCAGGACAGAGTAGGGAATAACAGAAAATGATTGGTAAGAAGCCAGAGGTGACATACAGAGATGTTAAAGCTTGATTCTGTTCTCCTGATCAGGGGAGTGGTAGTCATCATTCATAACTAATGAGGTGCCAGGAGGATGGTATGAAGGGTGAGGCTGGAGGCGAGGGATCATTTTGTCACTGGTGATTTATGGAAGAAATGTCATTAGGGCGTAATATTCCCATTAGAAGAAATCATTTAAAACACTATGATCTTTAGCTATTTTTCCTGTGAACAGAAATGGCTGCTATGTGTACCTCCGAGCCATAGAGAAAGTTGCCTGGGAGCCTGAAATCACACACTTTCTTTGTGAACTTTCTCTGCTTATTTTCTTCCTGGTTCTTTCTGTGACAGCCTTGGAGCCTGTGGCATTTTCTCATGGACCACTCAGTATGCCGTGTATTAAGGAGGAAACTGCACATGTGCGCAGGCAGCCTCTTCTCTCTGCTTGAAATTGTCAGCAGGTAATTTTTCAAGTTATGAAGGATCACTCACTCTACCTTTCCTTGCTTGGGATTTCTTGAGGGGTATGAGGAAGATTCATTGTTGTAATATACATTCACATTGGAGATAGAAGGGGGAATGAAAAAAGACCAAGATATTTCTTTTAGCCAGAATGTTCTTTTGGGGATGGGGGACAGATTAGATACTCAATATTTTTTTTTTTTTTTTGACAGCACTGGGTTTGAACTCAGGGCCTCACGCTTGCTGGGCAGGCGCTATACTACCAGAGCCACTCTGCCAGCCAGGATTAGATATTCTAATTCTCAGTTGTATGTGTGGGGGGGTGGGGAGGATGTGGGGTGTGGGGGTGTATGCATGTGTATGTGTACAGAGGGGATCCTGCTCATCAGGCTTTAGAGTTCCATTTTGAGAATTCCACAGGCCTAGCAAAGTGCAGCAGGAAGGCAGACCGAGAAAATGCTCAGAGTGCTATCCACAGCTACTGAACTATATTTCCATCCATGGCAGATTCAGGTCACCATTGTGCCACTCCCTAGATACAAAAGGAAGCAATATAGCTTTCAGAATCCTGTCAGGCACCAGGTTTGGGAGGAGAGTGTTCAGTGACAAAGAGAGGATTTCCTGTGGCCCCAAAATGGCATTTGGGGTCCTGGTCCAAGCTGGTCCCTCCCCTCCACCAAGACTGTCGAGGTCTGTTAGAGATCCTTCAGTGTGACAACTGATCTCCAACCTGGTGGCAGGTTCCAAAGTTTCTCTCCTGAGCTGGAAACCCCTCCCCCTCCACCCAGTTCCTCAGGAGTCTTAACCCCATCAACGTGTCATGACACAGTTCTTTTGTCAGGCCAAGAGAAGCCATCCTAGTTGACAAGGGATTCCAGTCCTTGATTTGCTACAAGTAGCTTCTTGATTTCTGAATCATTCCCATCAAATATCTTGGCACTCTAAAGTCACACACATTCACTACTGACTTTTTGTTATTGCCTTTGGGCCCTCCACTCAAAGACAATTAACACGAAACTGTCCATGGGATATCTGTGGGTATCCTTGAGATCTTGTTCCCCCCTATGGCCCAGCTGTCACCCTGGGCAGAATCTGGAGCATACTTGTTGCAGTGCTCCAGTTCCTTCCTTTGCCAGTGTTTTCTACTTTGCAACTAAGAGCACTGAGTCAAAGGAAAAGGGCAAAATGGGGAAGGGGCAGCCTCAGAGAGGCAAAGTTAGAGAATTTAGTTAGACCTTACCAGCCAATCATCTTCGGGCAATGTACTCTGAATCTGTTTCTTCCTTTCCAAAAATAATTATCAGTTGTGTTCCTATAAACCATCATTGAGCAATCCAAAAAATAAATTAACAGAACAATTCTATTTGCAATAGCATCTAAAAGAATTAAATACTTAGGAATAAACCTAACTAAAGGAGGTGAAAAACTTGTGTTTTGAAACTATAAAATATTGCTGAAAGAAATTAAAGTAGAATTGGGTGCTGGTGGCTCATGCCTGTAATCCTAGCTGAGCAGGCTGAGATTGGAAGATCGGAAGGATCAAGTTTCGAGGGCCAGCCTGGGCAAATAGTTTGTGAGACTCCATCTCCAAAATAACCAGGCCAAAATGGACTGGAAATGTGGCTCAAGCAGTAGAATGCTTTCTTTGCAAGTGCAAAGCCCTGAATTCAAACCCCAATCCCAAGACAAAAAAGAAAAAGAAAGAAATTAAAGGAGAGCTAAGTCAATGGAAATCTTGTGTTCAAAGACAGGAAAACTCAACATTGTTGAAGTATCAATATTATACAAATTGAACTTCAGATTCAGCACAATTCCTATCAAAATTTCAAAAGCCTCTTTCACAGGAATGGAAAAGCCAATCCTTAAATTCACACAGAATTACAAGGGGGCCCTGAATAGCCAAAACAATCTCGAAAAACAAGAATAAAATTGGGGTGAGTGCAGTGGCTCATACTTGTAATCCCAGCTACTTGGGAAGAGAACAAGGAAGGATCACGATTTGAGGCCAGTCAGAAAGAGAACTGATTCCAGATATTCAGGAGGCCTTAGAAGGATAGATGGAATCCAGGCCAGCCTCAGCAAAAATGTGAGATCCTGTGTAAAAAATAACCTAAAAACCAAAAAAGGGCTGGAGTCATGGCTCAAGTGGCAGAGTGCCTGCATATGAGACCCTGACTTCAAACCCAAGTACTGCCAAAAAATAAAAATGTAGGACTCACCCTTCTCAACTTCAAAATATCCTACAAAGCTACAGTAATTAAAATAATATGAAACGAGTATCAAGATAGTTACATAAGCCAATAGAATAGAATAGAAGGAAAAAACTCTCCATACATGGCCAGTTGGTTTTCAACCAAGAAGCCAATACATCTAATAGTCTTTTCAACAAATAGTGCTGAGAAACTGAGTATCCACACTCAAAAGAATTAAGATGTGCTCTTATCTTACATGATGCTATGATTTTTTTGGGGGTGGGGTGGGGTTTGAACTCAAGGCTTCACACTTGCAAAGCAGGTGCTCTACTGCTTGAGCCACACCTCCAGCCAATTTTGCTGTAGTTATTTTGGAGATGGGATCTCGAGCACTATTT